CAGCAAGCATGGACAAGGAGGATAAATAGAGGTGCATAAAAAATAATGTTTGATTAACACTAGTGCCAAAGGTCTCTATTAGGATCTAGTTGTCCCAAGTGGATTAACTTTTCTTGTTACATAAGAGAGATGGCGCTGTACTAGGGATTTGATAATATCTCATTTATTCTGGAAACATTATGCCTCCATCCAGAAAATGCTCAGATGTTGAGAGCTTTTCTTGATCCTGTTTTCATACCCATGCACTGCACGCTAAGCTTTCCACCTCTGTATTTCCAATCAGGAGAGCTGTGTAAAAAGCAGTTCATAGAACAAGCAAAGCCAAAATACCGTTATTCCCAGCCCACTACAACATTTATCTATCCCTCAAAATACCATCCAGTTACAGAATCAGTATAGACTGGATAGATTTCTGGGGGCAAGCCAACTCATGCGTAAGCCCAGTTTTCAAGGACCGCTTTTTGCTTGAAGAAAAATTTGAAGCCACAGAAGCACAGAATTGCTCAGTTTGCAAAGGTTCTCCAGGACCATGTGCAGAGGAGCTTTGATTATCTCCAAGAATGACTGGAACCAAATCAGTCTTTGTTTAAGTTTGGCTCCCTCTGACTTTTCAGGAATGACTGACATATTTTCTCAGGTGACAGTCAACTCTGGTGCTATTGTTTCAGTTTCTGTCATCCCAAATTAACGACTCTGCAGCAGTTTACTCTGCCTGTCTTCCCAACAGAAGGGCTGATAAATCATTTTTAAGTTGCTCTTTAGATTTTTATAAAAGTCTAAACCAGCAAAATCTTAAGGCAAACAACTGAAATGGTCTGTATCCTTAAAATATCAGAATATTGCATTCTCTGGCAGTGATTTTCTGTTACCCAGTATGGGAACAGTGTCCTAGGCTGACATGTAAAAGACAGACAGCTAACTAAAATGGCACAGGATGCTCTTCCTGTTGCCAATTCATATCTAAAAACTGACAGAAAAATATACTCCCAGTGACAGCTCTGAAGTAAGTCAATGTGTGACAGCAATCAGTTCTCTTCTGTCAAGTCAGGTTCCAGGAAGAAGTATAGCTTTTTTCAGGCTATGTGCCAACACTGTCAAGGAATAAGAACAACGGTACAAAGTAGCACTTGGCTATTTCCCTCAGAAATGAAGATTATGGGCTTTCAGCAAAGAGAAGAGCTGGCTACCTGAAATAAAAAAAAATTCTGGTAGATTGTGAGGAAGTCAGTCATAATGGCTGGCCCAAAGATGTGCTCTGGAATGGTAAGAAGAAGCAATAGAAGAGCCTGTGTCTGTACAAGACAGGTTTGAGGAGTTATTAATGCAAAAATATAGAGAGAAGGAATCAAACTACAAGAATCAGAGGGCTTCACATCAACTATAAGGATGTGATAAAAATCAAAGCAAGAACCAGTATGTGTGCAATCTCAGTTTTACCTGCTGGAGTAAGGGACAGATGAGTGGCAGCACCTGTGATGGAAAAATAATGGTTCAGAACCATATCACATCAGGGAACAAAGACCAAATGTAAAGGTGAGACAGATATTCTCACCTCTCATGAGGAAAAAAAACTCTCTGCCTCCTTTTCTTTCACAGAGCTCTTTCTTCTGACAACTCACAAGAGCAGACAATCTGATATTAGGGAGTAGAAAACCTGTTATAAACTTCTGGAGTACTAACATCACTGATAGAAAATAGTTATTTCCTCTCTCTGGACTGTCCCTAGCTAAAGGTGTCTCTGTCCTTGTCTTTCACAACAGAAGCAAAACGTTTCAACAATACTGAAGAAGCTATTATGAAACCCAGAAACAGGAATGTGAAAACATTATAAATTTAAAAGGACTTATAGCAGAATAGTAATAGAGCACAAAAGTAAAACGAGTAAAAAGAAAAAAAAAAAAAGAAAACACCAAACTTAAAGGAATAGAAGTAAGGGAGAAAATGGAACAGAAAGAGAGGGAAAGAATTGTGCTCTACTAGAGAAAAGGAGAGTAACACAAGAGTTAAGGATGGAAGATGGTGTGAGATAGTCAAACAGAACATCTGTAGGCAAGTTAATGTGTTGAGCCTCTTCAAAATCCACAAAGATGATAAGTAAAATATAATATCACAAGGAAAAGTTAACATTACCCACCTTACCCCTCGTGGTGACAAGGTTTAAGTAAGTATGTACATAAACCCTCAAAAACTAAACAGGAGATATACAGAACGGAGAGAGGGTGTGATGCCTGAGGTGTGTCCAAGAGGAGGCATCAGAAAAGTCAGATAAGAAATCTGAGCGCATTAATGACTGAAATAGCCATGTTACATGACTGGTAGTGTCTGTTTGTGCTGTCTATGTGTGTCTAGTCTAGCACAGCCCCATGATCAGTTGTACTCTTTAATTATTAATTATTAATTATTTTCTGTTCAGAAAAACAACCAACCAACCACAACCAGTTTGGATGAGATTAAACTGCTTTAAAAACTAAAGGATTTTAGGCATCAGCCATGCTCTACCCTCTGTCCATGGGACTAGCAAACAGGTCTTGACCAGCTTTAATTAACATCCTAAATGCAAGCTAAGAGAAAACTTGGTAAAGTCACATGTGAACTCAGTCTGAGGTAAATATCTGGGGCAGAAGAAATGCTTGAACATTGACAGTGACAGAAAGAGGATAAAATAATGATGGCAAAGGAGGAGCAGGCAAGCTAATGAATGAGAACATGAAAAATTAGAAGTTTGATGTCATCAGAATTGGATTTATCAGAAACTGAATGCCATGACAAGAAAGAGAAAATAGGACACTTGAAATACAGAGCTTGAGATGTAAAGTCAGTAAAAACAACTTAAAGCTGATAGATGAAATTAAAGTAACTGATCAAATGGAAGCTGATAGAAAATCTTAAGTACTGCATGAGTAGGGCAGTGGTGTCTGTGAGAGAAGAGCTAATGATTGAACAGGGTTGAGGGACATGAAAGACCTAGGAGTCTGAGTGATGCCAAAATATGCAATATGCGTGGTGAGAACTGAGAAGAAAGAAAGAATATTACAACATGTTTCCAAGAACAGAGGGGTGCAAGAGCATTAGAAGAGCATGAGAAAGTTATAGCACAGTGCTGAGGGAGTCATGTCAGACAGGCTGACATTCAAGTATTAAACAGAGTAATGTTTCATGTAGACAACCAGTTTCAAGTCTAACTTGGGCTTGCATTTAAGATGATAAATGCTATGGTTTACCTGGCTCTGGATTTCAGAACTTTCCACTCATTCAGAGCCTTGGAAGATCCCTCAAGTTTCTATGCCGTTACATAGGCTGCCTTTCAGCATAATTCAAATGCACCACTAAGAGGCTGCTATTTCTCTAAGTTTTCTCAGCTTCTCCACTTTCAGTTTAAAACCCAGTATTTCCTTTTGGTTTGATTCCCATTTACCCTTAACCATGACAATGTAGCTATCAGCCTTGCCATCTCTCATTTGTCACTTTATAACTTGACAGGTGACTGCTGTGACAGTGGGGATAATCCATATCTATAGCATAAAGTCTTAAGAAATATTTAAAAATTAACAACAAACTGTCACCTCTTGGTTATGCAAATCAAGAACAAACCCTTCAGGTGGCCTTTTTAACAATGAAAAGTTTTGGTTCAGTAGTTAGATGATACCATGCCTCTGGCTGCAAAGTTGATTAAAGAAATTTCTGCACTGTAAATTGGAAGAGAAAAAGAAAAGTTTATATATAAAATAATTCCTTCTACATGCCCTAAGCCCTTCCAAAACTCAGTGAACTTCACAATTTCATAGCACTGTGGCAACTAAAGAGAAGAGCAAAGTGTAGCAAAGACACAGGAATTACACATTTCAATAAGAGAAATACTGAATCTTTATTGCAAATTAAAAAGATGGTTGTCAAAGCTCAACTTTAGTTGCCCTTGCCACCTGCCCTTTGTCTTTGAATTCACTCAGACAATCCTGGAACACTACAATGACTAGAGAAGAGGGCTCACCATACCCAAGTCAAGGTTCTAGCAGTATTTCTGGAAATGTCTAAGTTCTTGCAATGGGTTTACTCAATTCCTCTGTCGAGCATGGTGCCTGCTAACTAACAGAAGCAAAACATGCTTGATAAAGCAGACCTTGGGCTCTGACCTAGATCATAAATGTACTGAAAACAAATCTCAGCAAAAGCGGTCCTTGACAGCAACTTCGAAGTTATGACAGTTGTCTCCAGTCCTGCAAATTCACACCTGAGCCAAAGAACTCCTACTGAACCCAGGAGGTTCTGCATACTCTCCACCTTGGATTTTACAAACAACTTGTTTGGACCGTGCATCAGTTGTGACTCAGATGCTTTTAATCTCACCTCTGCACGACTACAAACCGATTCTAATAATTTGTACTGCACAGATTCTCAGATGTGGGTGTGCAAACACAACAAAATCAAGCCACAAGGCATTCAGTATTTTCTTGGGGAAAAAAAAAAAAACAACAAACTGCTTCAATTGACAAGTGTAAAAGAGCTCAAAACCGGATAGAAGTTGCAGTTAACTAAGTAGGCTCCTTTTCTAAATCCCTAAGTCTTGCATCTAAGACAGACAGAAAGAAAACCCCGTCATTTAAACCACGTGGTTTACGGGGCTGGGGCTCTAAGAACATCATGACATTCATAACGAGGAGTCAGCAACGATCGCCTGTTTCTCTGTGGAGTCACCCAGCACCTCGCTGTCACGTCCCAGTTACCACATCACAAACACAGCACAACCCCAGCAACTTCTTCAGGCGTCCTGAACTCCGTGCAGCCCTCTACATCACTTCAGCGAAACCGAAGTGACCCCGACCAGCCGCCTCCAGCATCTCTCCCTCCGACTCTCCGACTGGGCATCAGCAGCCCGGCGGCGGGTCGCAGGTGCGAAGGGTCTCAGGGGCGGCGCTGCGACGGGTGGCAGCTCTCGCCTGGGCAAGCCGTGCCTGAGGTGCCGTTTCGGACCCGCCGCGGTCCGTACCACCCCGGGCAGGGGTCCAAGCTGACCGATGCCCCGGGGAGAGCAGCCCCCGGCCCGCCGCCACCGGAGGGCCCTACCGTGAGGGAGGGACAGGGGCGGCGGCCGGAGCGGGTAGGGGAGGAGTGAGGCAGAGGGCAGGGCCGGGAGTCGCCGCACCGCAGAGAGCCGGGGCAGCGCTCTTGCTGGCCCGACACCGCCGGAGCGGAGGGTCCCGCCGCCGCCGAGCCCGCTATGTCCGGCCGCTCCGAACCGGCCGCCGCCGAGCCCGGTCGCCCCCACCACGCCGCGCCCAGGTAGGGCCCGCGCCCCTCCCCGCGAGCAGCCGCCTGCGCGCTTGGGGCTGCGCCGCGTCGCAAGGGGCTGCCGCCGCCTGTGGCGAGGAACAGCTCCGGTGCCTTCTGCCCGGCGAGTAACGGCTGTCTGCGGACCCCGCTCGGGTGCCCGCTGTCTGCCCGGCGAGTGACGGCTGCCGCCGGTGCCTGCCCGCTAGAGAGCGGCTCCAGGCGTCCGCGGGTCCCGGCTGCCTCCCCGGTGAGTAACAGCTCTGAGCGCTGGCGGGTCCCCTCCCGGTAAGGAGCCGCGCCGGGCGCCCTCCGCCGCGGACCCCTGCCAGTGCTTACCACGGCAGACCGCAGGGAAGCGGTGTCCCCCGTCTGAGAGCGGTCGAGGAGGAGCGAGGACACAGCGGCGGCGCGCCCGCGGAGGCTCCGAGCTTCGCTCCTGCGGTACCTAAGGGGGAACGCGGCCGAATGACCGCTGGGAAGGCGGGGGGCGGCCGGGTGTGCGGAGCCGCTGCCGGAGAGAGAGGCCGGGCTGGAGCTTGGGGAGGAAGAGAGCAGCCGGAACGGACACTGCAAATTCGTGTCCAGCTGCAGAGGGGATGGGGATGTGCAGCTACTCGCCAGAAGGTGGTCAACCGCCATGGCTTTACTCCTACACGAAAAGCAGAAACTAAAGGGCTTTTCTTAAAAGAATTTAAAAAAAAAAAAAAGGAAGGGGGGGGGGGGGGTATTTGTCATCTAGTCTTCCTACAACAGCTGGTTTCCATACCGCAGCTTCTTAAGAGTTAGTGTTTAATAAAATACCCTTAGGATATTGTGCTTAAGCCACTTCGATGCACGTACGCTACCTAGTGAATCAGAGGATTTGACAATGGAAGAAAAAACTAAAAAAATCACTGTACTTTTCTTATCCCAGCTTATGTATTTATAGCCCTTATGAACAGCAGATTAGAGCAAAACTTCCTTCAAGACGGAAATTGATGCACAGATAGAAGTAGCCTACCGGAGATGCAAGATGTGGTTAAGCGTAATTTTCAACAATCACAAGTAAATTGCATTTTGATGATAGCAGACAGAAAGCGTTATAGAAATTGTACCATTCAAGTATGATACAGACTATCAGAGATAAAAAGCATATGTTGAAAATTATTACAATTTGTTTTGGTTTCGTTGCTTCCAGTGCAGGGTCCCAATGAGAAATGAAGGGTACAAATAATAAAGTTCAGAGAAAACACAGCCATAAAAACAAGGTAGTGAAACCTGAATACTCAAGAGGAACTGGCCTGGGGACAGAGGGTCGACAGCACTTAAATGGGTGATAACTACTTGCAGGAGAGATTGCTTTTGTTTATTTGGAAGAAACAAAATGCTTTAAATCAATCCCCCAAAAGAGAGTTGGCTGAGTAGTGTTTCATATCAATAAACATTTACCGACTAAAGCTTAATAATGTTTTTGCACTTTGATCTGAATTGCCTGGTGCAGAAGTAGCCCTTCTCGATTTTTGCCTTGGCTTTTCAGGGGTGGTGAGAAGGATTTAGTTTGTTAACTGTGGCTAGTAATTTTATATGCAACTTTTACACACCAAATACCAAGGTGATGGTACAAAGTTTAGGATTTTATGGGAAGCCACAATTTGAAAGTCAGGGACTCAGAGTGTAAGGCCAGAGAGACTCTTAAGTTACCTGATCTGACATTTCACACTCCACAACAAAAAATGGGTAGAGTGTGATCTTGACCCCAGTAACCTGGGTCAGGATACAACAGATATTCCAAAGAGACAGTCTTAAAGATATTAAGAAATAGAAAAGCTACCACTTCCCTTGCTTATGATCTTGCTTTCATTGTTACATGTTTACCTCCTCATAGGCATACAAACATCTTCCAACTCCACAGTTATTGCTAGGCTTTTCATCACTGTGTAAAGCTGAGGAAACCAGTTCTACTCCCCTCCAGAACTCTGCCATCAGAGATCTGCCATCTCTTCACTTCAGCTAGCCCAAAAACCATAATCTATTTCTGTAGTAAGGCCAAGGCTTATCTTACTCCTGTGAACAGCATACATGTTTCTTCTTTCTAAAGAGTGATTTTTTTTTTTTTTTTTTCTTCCTTCCATAGTTCAAGCAAGTCAGACTTCCTTTATCAAGAACCACAGTTATCTTTGTCATCTCTTTTATCTCCTGCAGCTGCTATGTTGACAGCTGCTTGTTATTTGTTAATCAAGGCAGCCATTTCTTTGCTGAACAACTATGTAAACTTCATGCTTACTGTGAATAAGGGTCAGAGGACTCTAGGAAAAAAGCTGACCAGAACAGCAAGTAATTTATTTACACCATTTCTCTATTCACCAGGAAACCCTGGGGAAAAAAGCACACCTGAGAGTCCAGGGGACAGATAACTTGTCCTCACACATCTTCAGCTCATCATGTCCACAATATTTGGGTAACTTTAATTGGGAAATAGTTACAGCAGCTGTGAAGAAATACAAAGAGTGTTAGCATTTAGGACTTAACTTTACATACCTTACCAAAGAAAGTTTTCACTACTGAGCTGTTATAAATCAAATAGTATTTTGCATCTTCCCTACAGATTCAATTTGGGCATTGGACTGTTTTTGTGGCTACTCACACCTGGTCTCACCGATGCTGCAGCTTTGCCCATGTTGCTTACTCTCCTATCACACACATCACTACCTGAGTTCAGCATAAACCAAAAGTGCATATTAGTTCCAGCTCAATACCTTCCCTTGTTTTGGCTTCCATATCTGAGGCAAAACATAAGCCCCAGGTCTGGATGCCTTGCAGCCACTGTGGAGCACAGCAGAGCAGGCTAGTGGCCTTTGGGCATCTACTGGCAGTAGCTTCTTGCAATGAACGCTTATCCTGAGGATCAAACAAGCAGCTGCAGAGAACTGCACAGAACTGGTAGCTATCACTTTTTCTTCAAGCAGCTAAAAGACATATTGTGTGCACATCACACTCTGGAAGCTGGAACTGTGGTCGATAATGATTTATTGGTTTTTTTTATGGTGGAGAAACAAAACCACGTTAAGACCATACATCTCACACTTTGCCTCTTCAGGTAAGAGGCAGGAAGAAAACCACTTGAATTTCTTATGTATGAGCCAGGAACTTTTGTCCTTCTGTCCCTTGTGTAAGCCAGTGACTATTTGGGATGCTGTTGAACAGCTGCCTAAGGAGATAGAGCCACTAGTTTTGGTAAAAACTGCAGTTTTTCTGCTCAAGCTTATGAAATTAAATGTATATACATATGCAATTTTTGACCAACGCTGTATATCTGAAAGTAGTCTTACCTGACCTTCCAACATGTCTTTTGGACTGGCATATGTTTTCAGCACGCATTTTGTGTGAATACTAGAAAGAGAAGGCAGGATAATCAGTGTTCTTCAGTTCATAATGAGAAACAGTACTGGAGCTTAGAAGCAATATTAGACTGAACACTAATTCAGAAGAATTAAAATGCTTATCCATCCAACAAAGTTGAGAAGTATAGACTGTATATTTTAAACCATGAGAAGACAAGCCCAAAGAATGTTGGCTAAAAGTTTTGTATCACCAACACAGAATGAAATATCTTTGCTACCTATCAGTGGTACCTGGCATGGCAGAAAACTTTTGCACATAGAGCTCAGAGAATGGTTAAGAAAAGCCTTTCTAGTTTTATATGGTTGTATTGAAAACCAAGCATTTTTTAATATTGATGAATATGCTAGGGTCTACCACAGATGCAAAGAGGTAAGTTAAGATATTCAAAGAAGAGATCAAAAAGCTGCTGCTGTATTAGACCTTTCTTACAGACAGTAAGCATGTGGCACCTACTCACTGCCATTTGTAACTTATATGGTAACACTAATGTCACAGACTTCAGCTGACAGCTGTGCTTGTGGTCCAGCAAAGCACACATCTTGTATAACAGAGAAAACAGATTTGGTGGCTTACTAAGATGCTTTTAGAAACAAGTTAAATATAGCTTTGATCCTTTAAGGAGAAGAAATTTTAGGCAAAGACTCAAATTATGAAGTTCAACAGTCACAGGTGTAAGCTAGAGATAACAGTTTCTTATAAAAAATCATAAATAAATAAGAACTGCAATAACAAAAAGAAAAGCAGCACATAAACCAACAGGAATCAGTACTAAGAATTTATTTTGAAACAACTGTCAGTGATGAGTGGAATGAAATTAGCAAAGAGACAGAGGATGATGGGTAGTATTTGGTGAGACTGGTGAGACATAGCTTACCGGTCTGGTCTCCATATTTTTCCACCCGTATGAGTAGAAGAGAAACAAATTTATTACAGATCTTCTTTTAAATAAGAGAAGGGAAATAAAGACATCCCCTGAACAAGAGTGTAATGTCAGAACTTCATTATCAAGAGAACTGCATGCATTACAACAGTAGATGATATCACATATGAGGATGAAATTTGCTTTTCTGCATTTGTGTAGAACCAGTACTGCAGCCCAACCAGAGAAATTAGTTTAATACTTGCTGGGTATGCTTTTCTTTTGCAAATTAACAATTAATTTACCAGATGCTTTGAGTGAAGTGGCCAGAAAATTTATCTAATGCTATGTGATCATTTTGGATTTCACTGTCTTCTTACAATGTCAGTTTGATTGTCAGTGGTGGGAATTCTTGAAATGACATGCTGCATCCTGTTTTCATGGGGGATTACTTTAAACAGTTCATTAACCTAGCTAACCTATGTTGTCAAACATAGGCAACAATTATCAGATATGTTTTCCTTCAGTGAGGTCAGGGGAGAAAAATTTCAGCTGAACCAAGAAGGAACTTAAATTGTTGAAGGTCATAAGTCTGTGGATGAGGAATCTTATCCTTTCAGAGTGGGACTGTGGGTGACAAGAGGAGGGAGACTTGGGATCATGGAATCAGCTAGGTTGGAAAAGACCTTTAAGATCAAGTCCAACCATTATCCCAGGACTGCCAAGACCACTACTAAACAGTATCAGTGAGGGATTTCTTTACTACTTC